ATTCATAAAAACGGTGACTCTAAGAAGTGAAGTACAAGCTTCACTAAGGCAATCAGACAACCACTCTTAAGAAACTGTGGTTGTTGTTTAAAAATCATGGCCACATGCACCATACTGTTAATGTGACGTCATAAGATATCAATTCTGCCGCGATTTTCTTTAGGGTTATTTGCTGTAATTTATTTTCTTCCTAATTATGTTTATTGGTATTAAAAGAAAGAGGTCGGTATTAACTTTAGCCTCCTAGAACTTAACTGTATTATTACTGTTGTTCTTTCTTCCATCTAGGCGTAAAACAAATATGGATGTTAAACATTATGAAAGAAATAATCCTAGGCTTAACTTACTTAAAATCCACTTTTGAATGAACGTTAAAAATTACTACAAACTTCCGACTTTAAACGATATAAATGGCAGATATTAAGGGATTAAAACAGTGAGTGGAATAAATGATATACCTTTAAAATATTTTATAGCGAACTACAGCTTAAAAGTGTCAACAGACAGATATTGGGTGCTTCTAATAAAAACAAATTAAGTAAGCGAAACTGTTGGTTTAATATGTGATAAATGATAAGTTTCGAATTAAAGTAAGCTAACAACAGAAATAATTGCCACGAGTTTAAAAAACAATAACAGATTAGATAAACTAATATCAATATTATGAAATTTCACACTCCACGAAATATCCAAGCCAGATGACGTAACAAAGAGAGAAAGTCTCGTTTAAGTTTCAAAGCCACATTGGGCTATCTGCTGTGTTCACCGTGGGGATTCGAACCCCGTATTTTAGCATTGTAAGTCCAAAACTTACCGCTGTTCCATCGGGAACAATAATACGAAATGGTTGATAATGGGGACAATTTTTGTTAGAACTTTTACTGTTAAAAAATGTTAAATCTGTTTTGTTTAATGAAGCTGTCGGTCTGTATACTAGAATTCAAACAAATGCTAAAACTATGAGAATCTGTAAAGCTTATTGAGATTTTATAGAAAGAAAGTTGTAGAGTTTTAACACAATGGTATTTTTTTACAAGTTTGCGGTAAATATTCTAATTAAAATGTGTTTTTGTTTTTATTCTACCAAGAAACTAAGCTTTCAGTAAATATCCTAATAAAAATGTGTTTTTATTTTTACTCTACCAAGATACTAAGCTTTCAGTTGCCATTAGTATCGAAAGTTATATTAATACTTCACGATACATTTCTTAACCTGGTCAGTTGTCCACTAGACGTTAGCTTGCCGGATTGGGGATGAGAAAGTCCAAAACTTGAGTCACGACATGCCGATGAACACGCTCCACACTTTCAGCTTTGGACAAGTTATAAAAGTAACATTTAATTGTTCTGTCGGTTAAGAAAAGGCAAAAAGGCGGCAAGGTTGCTAGTTAGTTACCTCGTCTCTCTGGTCATTATTAAATCAGGAATGGCAATGCATGAATCGGGGGGTATGTAATTTGGCCGATTAGTCCACGTGTCGTCATAACCAGGGATTAAATAACGGCGGAATGGCCCAGCGCTACGTCTCTTCAGGTTTCAAGCTATTAGCGTTTTCTGGTCTTTTGGTCAGAAGGAAAATGTGCTGTATTGTGCCACGATGTGATCCATGCTGCTAATATAAAGTGGGTGCTGTATTGTGCCATGCTGTGATCCATGCTGCTAATATAAAGTGGGTGCTGTATTGTGTCACGATGTGATCCATGCTGCTAATATAAAGTGGGTGCTGTATTGTGCCACGATGTGATCCATGCTGCTAATATAAAGTGGGTGCTGTATTGTGCCACGCTGTGGTCCATGCTGCTACTATAAAGCGCGTCACAAAAGGGTGCTCCACCTCTTTCAAAATCCCAGTTTAACCACTGGGTATAAAGGTGCTATTTGGGTTAAAATACCAAATACTTTTATAACTGTTTTCAAATGTTTTTTTGCAATTTGATATAAAAATTACTGCATTTATTGTTATAAGTTAATTATATTAATTATATTTATATTACAACACTCGTAAACATAAGACGAATACGTAGTCCATCTTTACTTGTAAACAAATAAGAATAAGAAAACTTTCAAAAAAATATTTAATCTAACAATATATGTCTCGTGTCTATCATATGTCCACATTTCCGTAAAATAAGCCATTTGTAGAACATACGAAAGAATGCATATCTCGTGTCATATGGTGATACACTGTGTGACCAATAAAATAATAACGTGTGCTGTTTGTAAAATACGAGAACAATAATTAATACTAATTGGTTTGTATTTAATATTTTCAAATGTCCCATTAAAATGGTGAATGTTTTATTTTTGTATGAATGGTAAATTGTATAACGAAAAATGATACCGACTCCAAGGACAATACATCTATTTTCCCACAATTTAAAGTTTTGATGATACTTGGAGTCATCATGGTTGGTGACCCACACGGTCAACTAAATGTACGTATTTATTAGTAAGAATTTTATTTTTATTTGTATCAATAAACAGACAGTAATTAAACTTAAGTAATCGTATAGGCCACTAACAACGACAACGGTCGATATCCGATCGCCACAACCAAACCTAAAGTACAAAATATAACCTGTCTGAACAAACACCGGATACATTATGATATCTAAAATGTACAATATTTCATCATTTTGATTTGAGGAACGCAATCGTGACATAACTTGTTAATAATTTCGATGTGTGAAGTTGCTCCCTATTATTGTCATTCCTCTTACGAAGATAATCCTAAATAAACTAGAACTTTACGTTATAATAATATAGCAGAGAAAATATTTTTAAGACAATGTAATTAACATAATGAATGAGCTCACGCAACCGGTGAAGGGATTGTTATTTTCGTTCAAAGAGGCTTGAGCGCTATCGTGAGTAGTCTGCATTTTTCAGCCAATATAGTTAGATATAGATGTGGGTTACAAGTATTTCACCAGATTACCTTCTCTTCCGATCAATCCTCAGTTAAAATTTGAGCTTCAAAAACTAGTATTGGGATGTTTTTATAACGTTTCTCTGCTAATATACATACCACTGAAATAACGTACTTCGATACAGAAAATGTTTGATTACTGATTTGACACAACAAATTTGTAAAAAGATAAATCAACTAATAAAAACTGTTGAACGAGGATAATTAGTTCACCCTTGTACACATTGATTTCTGATAAGTGCTGAGTGAGGTATGATTGTTAAAATATTCTAGAAATAACTTTCCATAATGTATTCTTAAGCTTGTGGAACAAGGTTTTTAAGGGTAGTTAAGTAATAACCAAATACTGTAAATATCCATTCAAAAATAGTGTGATATTTTCCATTTATATATATATATATATATATACGCATAAGTTAAAAATGACAACATTTTGAAAAACAAAATGACAAAAATTTTGAAATTCATTACGCAAATAATTAGACATGAAATATTATTATTTTACAACATCTAGTCAACAGAGTTTCATCCTCCTTTCTGATGGCTAAGAGACAAGTTTAAAGGCTTATAATGTTGAAAATCGAGTTTCGATACCCGTGGTGGGAAGAGCATGGATGGCCCATTGTGCAACTTTGTGCTTAACAACAAACAAAAAAACCTGTAAAGAAAACGAGAGCTTAAAATACTTTTACAGTTTTTTGCATTCTGTATATATTTTCTGAAATAGCTTAAAACATCGGTGACCTTTCAAAAGTATATTTTGAACAGGAAATTCATGAATAATTCTACTAGATCAATAAAGTTATACTCAAATAGAAATCACTATAAACAACTCTTATGTGTTTTAAATAATTTATAAAAGTTGCTTTTAGTGCGGAATTATAATCATATGAGAAATATCTTTAAAAAAAAGATAAAATATACGAAAAATTAAGCGCGATTAGAGAGATTTAAACAAGGATTGCAACACTTCATACTGTTATTCTTCAAAATTTTCCGTATACTAGCAAATCTTCAACGAGTCCTTTTATTAATAAATCATGATCAAAAACAAGTAAAATTTACTCACGTGTCAGCATGTTGAGGGCTAATTTTAATTCGCAGGTTTTGTTCAGTTATCTATATTCAAAAATATATGCATTACTATTCATATGTTGATTTTTCTTTCCCATGTTGGTACTTTGTTTTGTCGTGTCCTCTACATATTTTTTTCATAGTCACATTTAACCAGAGCATATTATAACAGGCAGAAGGTGTCGGTCCTTTGAAATTACAGTCAAAAATTAAAAATTTAGATTCTTTGTTAAACCACTGGAGAAATGCTATCTATACTGGTTTGTAACAAAAAAGCTATAAAGCATAAATCATTATATAATACACACACCTTTCTTCCGGACTGACATTAGTGGTCGCTCAAACAAAAACAAGAGTTGAAATAAAATCAAGTTTGGCAAGTATCTGAAATAAATCTAGCTTATCCACTTCTACATATTAACACGTAAAATCATTTCTTAATAAATCAACGAGTACAAAGTCGACTAGCCGTTATGTTTCGTTTGAAAAACATTCTGACACATTTTTAAACATTCCAAAATTACAATAAGTTGTGCCAAATGTAATTTGGAAGCATGAAGTGTTGAAATTATCTTTTTTTGAGTTACTTTATTTTCACGTTGACGTGCAAGAATGAATAACGTATTTACGTGACAAAGTTCCTTGCTATTTTCATCTTTCTGTATTACCAGATATCCTGCAGTCTAAAGGAATTTCACGTTAGAAGGAGTTAACTAATATGGAGAATATCTGTGAAAACAAAGTTGCAACACTGGATCCGATTGAGAAGCTGTTGAACGAACACGACGAGGAGAATTACAATAAAGTGGATAATAACTTGTCTCAAATCTAGCTTGTTGGAACTCTTCATCATTAGAAATCCAGTTGGAAAATAGTTGGGCAGACAGCCAATGAAAAGAAGGATGTAAACAGTTGGTTGTATTGGGCAAAGGAAGTTGAGGCATGAAGTGTGGACTAGAAGAAAAAAAACGATAGATATCTTTTTGGGTGATATTACTGTGAAATTCTGACGGATTCCACAAAAATGGTGGTCGATGAGGGAAGCTAAACGTCATTCTGTCTTGCAGTAGCATGCTGTCAGTTTCCACGTCCAAAAATGATCTTGATGGTGAACAAACACGTGGTATTGTAGCCTCAATAGAATCTCTGAGAAATGTCCAATCAGTAAAAGTAGTGAGAAATATCGCAAGAAAATAGAATGACTTTTAATTAGAACTGAAGGGAACAGGTAATTTTAAATCAATTTTACAAATACAGTAAAATTCATTCTGTTCCACAATGAGCAAATACAAACATATAATCATAGGATGATTAATAATTAAAAAATACCGCAATTTATCTTCAATACATTATAATTACATTTGAGATGTAATAGTATAAATGAATTGCGGGTTTTACCCGTAATCCTTATTCTAAAAGTAAATCCATAATTGTATTAACATTTAAAGCATTATTGAATTTTTTTTCTTTTTTTGAGTGTGTACATATTTACAAAGATCACGACCATTTTGAAAACAAAACAAACACGTTCATTAATCACATACACGTGTATTTCAAATTATATATCGTACAAATTACACCAAATTATACCTATTGATCAATTGTTATGCAGAAATACCAAGAAAATACACTTTGGTGATTTTAGACTTTAATATAATCCGATAATACATGTAGTTGAAATACCTAAGGTCTGCTATTCAAATGAATATAATGGTGTCAATAAACAAGAATGACAATTTTATCATGATTACCAACTTGCAAAGAAAGATAACTGAAAAAAACCCACAAAAATTTTCATGCTCTCAAACTTCAAATATAATAATAAAAAAAACTGTAGAATGTATTATCATATACCAAATTTTACAGTCCTGAAACATGTGAACGACCAGTAAACTATATAGTGAACAAACAAATTGTCATATGTTAAAGATGGTCCAGATGTAACAATATCGACATTTGAAAATTTAACCATTTTTCATTTAGTTTTTGACTTCATTCCCAATCTGTGTTTCCATCCTACCTTTCCATTTCTGTGATTCGGGAAGAATCCCTAAATCCCTTTGCGAAAGGATTGCTGTCGATCTTCAGTTTTGTAATCTGATAAAAAAAAAGTTTTATATATGTTTAATATTGCGTAGTCTAAAACATTCCAATTTCACAAATTCAAAATACAAAACGTTAAATTATCCCAGAATGGTAGATTTATAATCAGCCCCCCAGTAGCACAGCGGTATGTCTGCGGACTTACAACGCTAGAATCCGGGTTTTGATACCCGTGGTGGGCAAAGCACAGATAGCCCATTGTGTAGCTTTGTGCTTAATTACAAATAAACAAACAGATTTATAATCAAACATACGGATATTTTTTTAAGATAAATTCTTCACAATTGTTTTAATCCGTTCTTGTTCTTTTAAATACAACGATTAGAATAAAAAATGGAAAAGGAATTAAAAAATGGATTTCATTCCATATTACCGCTAAAGGTGTAATTACTCTCATAAAAATTGACTACACTGTAACCGTGGTAACCTTCACAGAATTGCGAAATTTTAACAATAATATTGTTAATAATTATATTACCGAAGTTCGTTCTAATGAAATGGTATATAATCATGTATTATACATCAATTTAATACATATTGTGAAAATATTGTAATAAATAGTAAAGTGTCTTTTTTTTTCTTGCGGAAAGCTACACAATAGGCTATCTGCGCTTTATCCAGTCCGGTGGAATCGAGCCCCAGATTTTAGCGTTGTAAGTCTTATACTTACCCATCAGGAGACAAATTATTCTTAAAAAGAACAAACTGTTAGAATAAACATTAATTTACGAGACACGGTTACTTGTTTGTTTTTTATAAATAAAACTATAAATGACGTCCTAATAAGTATATATTATTAAATCCTGAAATGATTGAATAACGATATAACTTTTATTAAAGAAGTTATACGTGCCTAGTATGTATATATTTTATTTTATATAAATAACTTGTAATTTATATGTAATAATAGTTTTTCGGTCATTAAAAAGAACTCATTCGGTATTGGAGAATGTATTAACAACGCTATGCCTCTATTATTAAACAACATTCCAAAGTACAACAATAACGCTATGCTTCTAATATTAATATTTGTTATTGTTAAGTATTTTTTAAAACGTAAACTGTAGTTAATTCTTGATTTTAAAATTCAATAAACTGAAATTAAGCACATCAAATATAAATAGATGTAAATGCTCGATAACAAACTACAGACAATGAGCCTAATTCTTAATGTTAAATACAACTAATTATTTCTAAAATTGAAGAACGTTTAATGACCAAAAACTTCATATCTTACCAGCTGGTTCTGATAAGCGGTGACAGCGATAAATGTCGTTTCTGGAAAGATGTATGTTCGAAACTCGTACGACTCCAGATCGGATACAGAAGATCTAAAGGAGTCGTAATCCAGCTTTACGAGATGTAATCTTGGCTGGTATTTGTGCATGGAGTTCAACACAATCTGTAATCAGTGACGTAACAGATGTTTATTTCTTCTAAACTTTATGAAGTACAGAGCTGTTTAAACATTAAACAGATTATTTAGTGTCGTTTTGGTTAAAACACGTCTTGACCAATCGTATTAGTCATAGGATTATCAGCTGTTCATGCTTTGATTTTTGTCATTTCCTGTGTGTTAATATGTTCAGTTGTTACAAAAAAGAACAACATACTTCAGTGTTACTATTTTTACGTCTATTACAAAAAAAATACTTCAGTGTTACTATTTTTACGTCTATTACAAAAACAGAATAATTTTATTACAAAAATAGAATAATTTAGTTACAATTTTTACGTCTGTTACAAAAAACAGAACGCTTCAATTACTATTTTTAGCCCCCCAGTGGCACAGCGATATGTCTGCGGACTTGCAACGCTAGAAACCGGGTTTCGATACCCGTGGTTGGCAGAGCACAGATAGCCCATTTTGTAGCTTTGTGCTTAATTCCAAACAAACAATATACTATTTTTACGCCTGTTACAAAAAATGCTTCAGTGTTACTGTTTCGAAACGTAATTGTAGATTTTTAAGAATGTTTTCATTAACACCAGAAATAAACGTGGTAGTGGTTCGAAGAAGAGCCATCCGTTAACTCGTTTCTAGTTTTATTTGTTTCCCAATCTATACAGCGTTTGTTTTTATTTCCTTTCTTTGGAAACTGAATAGTGATATTATGTAGTCTTAATAGGCCTGCGTCAAAAATAGGTACACTTTTCCTCTACTGAATTAAAGGAAACATATCGTTAGAAGTGATACGCGTAAGTAGTTAATATACTGAGTACAGTCAGTCTTAAATCAGTTCTTTTTCATAACACAAATAAAGATTGTTCAACTAAATAAAGAACTAAGTTGTACGTATTCAAAATCTAAGTTATCATTGCTTCTCACCCATGAAACACGCATTTCACTTAAGGAGAAAGTTAAACAGTGAGATGTTATCGCTCAAACATAGTCTCATCTAAAGTTAGATCAGGAAGTGAGTTTACTACACTAAACCAATTCACCAAGCCATCAATCAATCGAAAGCTATTTATTTAAATACCTACGTTATCCATTACTCCACTGGTAACGTGAATGGAAAGTATATATTGCATATGTTGTATTATCCAATCAAGATTTATACTGCAGCTCAGGTGACAAATTTAATTTACCGTTCTTATTCGGATCATACTGAACTTTCTTCGTAATGCTACTATATATATATATATATATATATTTCTCATGCGTGAGCTATTCAAAATGGACTTCGTGACAATTATGATATATAAACAGGACAAAGTGGGGCACGTGAGATATGATCTTACAGAGAACTGACTCATTCTCAACTTCTATGAATGTAGTTCACTCTTGTATTAGGTGGATTAATAACATTACAGTAGTATTCACTCTGATCTCATCTTTGTAGATATAACACTAGTTCCGTGTATGGGGTAGGAACTTTGGAGCAAAGCTAAAGTGATTATCTTGTTCTCTTCGTATACCCCCCCCCCCCCCCCACGTGGCACAGCGATATGTCTGTGGACTTACAACGCTAGAAACCGGGTTGTGATACACGTGGTGGGCAGAGCACAGATAGCCCATAGTGTAGCTTTGTGCTTAACAAAAAACAAACATATTATACGCACCCCATATAAGGTGTTACATGTGGCAATTTTCCCATCATTTAACACTCGTACATTTTAGTTTATAAATAAGATAGTGTTGTGATAAGTAGAAGATCTAATGATAAATAATTAGAT